CATCGAATGGGTTTTGGGCAAATAATGCGCAAGCACCGGCGAAGCCAAAAGCGAGGGAATCGGAGGAAATACGACGTGGGATGAAGGTTTCCGCTGCTGGGGTTCACTCTAAGTGACCAGGTTGAGAACCCAGTTGATTTCCACGCGGAGAGAGCTAGAGAGTCAGAGAGTAATCGAGAAATGAAACTCGCAGATAGAGGCTGAGGAGGGGTAAAATGGGGAATCGTGGGGGTTGGGCGTAGTGGTGCAAAAGAATAGGATATATGCGGGCCGACTGCGACCGTATCCGTTTAGAAAACGGATATTATAGCAACCATCCGGATACGGTTCCGGTTCGAATTTAGTTTTGGGTTTTTACTCGGATACGGTTTCAGATACGGTTTTTGGGTCGATTTTACGGATACGGTCCGGATATCCGGATGTGTATAACTCGGCTAATTTTTATAGTGTTGGGTCGGGTCTATATATATACAGTCCACCTTAACCTCTACCCGACCCGATTTAAATTAAATGAAAATTCTCCCGATTGCAGAGATCAAAATTGACGATCTCAAAGCCTCCGCCTTCGACCCCCGCCGTCTCCGTTCAACCCTCCGCCATCCGCCTGACCTCCCGCCTCCGACCTCCGCCGTCTCCATTCAAGCCTCCGCCTTTGACCTCCGCCCTCCGCCTTCGACTTCAGCCGTCTCCAAGGCTCCGCTTTCGACCGACTTCAAGCCTCCGCCTTCAAGCCCGACCGACCATCAACAGAGACCTCCGAAAGTTCTCCTCCTCGGTTTCTTCTAACACTGAGGTGAATTCGAACCTCTAATTGGTTGAATGGAAAGCCCTAATCTGTATGATTAAATATCCTAGTTTGCTAGCCCTTCGTCTGAGTGGAAAGCCCTAATTTATTTGATAAAGAAGCCCTAATTTGCTATCCTTTGTCGACTGAAAACTGAAAAGACCTAGTTTGTTTGGCAAATGATTTTAGCTTAAAATTTTGTGAAGTTCTAGAGCACATGCACCTTGAAGTAAGTTATAAGCTAAAACTTGCTTCGGAATTAAAGTAGTAAGCTATATCCGGATTGTTTTGCACCCCTATAACTGATGGGATAACCATTGTCGATCTCTCTATCTCAACTCGCAATCTCTCCGAGATCTCTCTCTGATGAAACCCTATATCTTATCCCTCTCTAGCGAGTCGATGATCGTGATGGTCACTAAGTCGATGATCGTGATGGTCAGTGACGCTGCTCGATCTTCCTGTTGAACAAGCCCTAATTCCTATCTGGAGAGGGGGCGACGACAATCCTCGGCGATGAAAATCCTCGGTGACGGCAATCCTCGATGATGGTGATCATCGGTGATGGTGAGTCGTTTCTACTTTGTTTTTCCCTAATCTGCAAAGTATCAAGGTTCAGTATTTGTAGGTTCATTCTTTTAAATTGGGTAAAGTATCAAAATCCAGTTACTGATATCTTGACTCTCTCAAGTTTTGCTCCTTATGTCTACTAACATGATATCTTGACTCTCTCATCCATCAGTTTTCCTGTAGGATTTTGGTTAGAACTGTCTTAATTACATAGAGGCTATGATTTTCGTAGGATTCGTAGGTTGGGGCAGGCACAATTACATGAGTTCGTCATTGACGAAGTGTTTTATGTTTATTTTTCTTGCGCTTTTCAGTGTACCCTTCTATTTATAACAAATTGCTGTACCTAAATGCAGTCTTGATGGGTATTTCATATGACCAGCCTATAATTGTATTCAGCCTTTTCATGATATGTACTTGAATATGATGCCTTGCATTCATTTCAATACACAAGTAGAGAATGATCACCGAATTCTAGTTTATTTATTCTAAATTACATTCCTGATAAATTCTCTGTTTGGTACTCGCAGCTCCGAAGGATGGAATTCTCGAAAGCATCTAAAGATTCCCGAGAAGCTTTCTTAAAAGGAGAAACGAGCAATCACTAAGATCTCCATGGATTTCTTGAATTGCATGTCTACCATCTCCCACAAGAGCTCAACCATCTTCAAATGCTGTCTATTATTGCTTGTGCTCCTTGCATTTCGAGCTCTAATGCTCTCTCCTATACCAAAGAACTTCCCTTGGATCGCTTCTTACCATCTTTCAAATCCTTCTCATAACCCAATCAGAATCAACAAATTTTTGGAGGTTCCTCAAATTATATGGGGCTTAAACAATCAAAAGATAGCCTTTGCTCGAGCTTGCTTAACAGCCAGACTCTTGAACCGAACTCTTCTTATGCCTAGCTTAACTGCCAACTTGATCTACAAAGAAATTAACGTGTCTGAACCTATTCCTTTCAACAAAGTCTTCAACTTTGAGAAATTCAACTCTCTATGTACTGGGTTTGTTCAATTAGGCCATTATTCCAGTCTTTCAAACCGAACCAGTCCACTTGAACTCCAGAAGGGAAGCGGAAGGAAGTGGACCAAGGAAAGAGATTTGAGCCAACTACAGCAATTCAAAGAGGGCTCATGTGATAAGTTTGAAGTCGTTAGAATCATTGGGAAAAACCCGTTCCTTTGGCATGATCATTGGCCTGTAAAAGATTATGCAAAAGTTTTTCGGTGTTTGGCTCTGGTTGATGAGATAGAAGAAGAAGCATCGAAAGTTATCTCAAAGATCAAAGGAGGGGAAAATGTGCCTTTCATTGCGGTCCATATGAGGATAGAGATTGATTGGATGATTCATTGTAAGAAAGTGGAGCAAAGGCTTCATACATTCCAAATTTGTAGTAGCAAAGAGGAAATAACAAATAGAGTTGCTAAAATCGCTAGTGGTCTACCAAGGCCAATTCCAGTGTATCTTGCTATTGCCTATAGTCTACTAAAGGATGGTTCAATACTTAGTGGTTGGGAAGAAGGTTTAATTCCTTTCGAGAAGAAGAAATTGGTGGTTTGGGATATTTATCAGAAGTATCCTTATATCATCCAGGCTGCAATTGATTTTGAGGTGTGTTTGAGGGCTGATGTCTTTGTCGGCAACAGTTATTCGACTTTTTCGAGTCTAGTAGTTCTCCAGAGAACACAGAATTGGATTGAAATGGGCAGTGGGGCTTCATGTGGAGATAATTTGAGCTTTGCTTCATACGCTTATAATATCTTGGGTGAAGATGGTGGTGCTCAGAGATGGATGACTGATATGTCAGCTTTGAGTCTTGAAAGTATCAGTTATGGGACTAATAACATCTCATGTGAAATTGGGGACATGAGCTGAGTCTGTGAGAGGTGTACATTTGAGGAGAGAAATATTCTTTAATTGATTTGTGAATGTTAAAACAGAAGAACATAGGATTCAGTTAGAAGGCTTGCTCATCTCTCTGTATACTGTAGTTGTATACACACAGAATTCAACATTGAGGGATATATACTCATTTGAGCTCAAGACTTTGTTGCAAATTTTTTTTTTTCTCTTGAGAGTGCATTGTGCGACTACTTTAGCATTTTCTAATGATTATTGTAGGATAATTCAAGTATTCTCATGGTTTACACTTTTTAGCTTTTTTGAAGCTAAATTTACCATGTATTCATTTTCATGTAGTATGCTTTTAACGGGTTGAAAATTTAATTGCATTTATTAGCAAGGTGATTCACGTGTTGTTTGAGATCATATACTTGTGATGAAGCTCCTCTTAGCTCAAATCATGTGAAAGGTTTGCTATTCTTTACTGTGGGTGATTCATATGTGTAATTTATTCTAAAATTTGTGTTTTTGCATTCCCAAATCCATTATGTTATTTTAAATAGCAGCCCCATCTTGAGACTAGTTTGTATAGTATTTACAAGTCATGGCAGATACGTGTACAACTCGCAGCAGCTGGTGCTGGAAATACAGACGGTCATGCATTCCCCGCCCAAGTGATATGTTCTATGGAAAAATTATGCCAGCACTTAAAGAAGAAGGTATTCGAAGAGTGATCTCAAGAAGGGATTGGCCTCACGAAGTCAAACGGAAGGTTCTTCTGGGAAGGAAACCCCAAGACAACTACTTTGACAGGAAATGTGGTGCGCCAGCGAAGGGTTTAGAGGTTTTAGTTTGAAGACTAGAAGGTAAGCTCTCCCTAACGTAGTTTATGATTCCCTCTAAGAGCACAAGGTTCTGGTCTAGACTTTCTTTTTTGCTTCCAGTTGCTATTTGGATTGGAAGTGGTTGCGAAATGCTTAAAGCTGAACCAAATTGAACGAGGTTAGGATCATAATCTTTTCTTTATTATTAGCTGGAGTTACTTAAATGGCATAATTGTTGAAGTAAATGATGTACATCTAAGCTCACATGTGGTAATTAATTTTTCATATTCGGCAATTTTCCTTATGTTTTAACACATGTTTTTTAAAACTCCTACACAGTTGAGCCCTAGTATGCATGTTGGAGTCAACCCTCCAATAGCCGCCCACTAGACCTTACCTCCATTTTCATGGCCCCTTGTTATTTTGCTGCTGTTGACATTTATAACTGTACTCTCCTCTAGTTCTGACATTATTGGTCATTATTTACTGTTTTGCCATATTTGTTCTCCTTTTTTACAGTGTTACATTCATATAATTTCCCCTCACAGTGTAATAATGTTTTTTGTTCCAACCAGGGGACAAATAGTAATCTATTAACCAGTAATGGAGTTTTATCTTGCTATTTTAAAAAACCAGTATCAACCATCAATGACGGTTTTCCATGATCTAAATATTGTTAGAACATAGAAATTGACCTCAGGGATGTATTTTTTGAGGAATAATGTTGTATATTTGTAGTTTACAGTTACATTCTAGGATACTTGCTTGACTTGAGAACAAAATGTCTAGTTGATTTACTCATGGAGTTGCAAAACTATGTTATGAAGAGTGGAGTAATGAATATATACACTGATTAGTCTATCATGCATCCTAATACCTTTTTAAGTGGTTCATTTGTTAAGATAAACGATCAACTTTGTCTTCCAGGTTTTCTAGTAGTGTAGCAGCCATGAGCATGGTAGGCCATCTAGGAGATAGACATTTGGATAACATTCTTATGGACTTCTGCAGTGGCGATGTAATCCATATAGATTACAATGTTTGCTTTGATAAAGGAAGAGACTGAAAATCCCGTCCCTTTTCATCTTACTCAGATAATTGAGACGGCACTAGGATTGATAGGAATCGAAGGTTCTTTCAGGGCTAACTGTGAGGCAGTTATTGAGATTCTTCGCAAGAACAAAAATATTCTCTTGATGTTGTTGGAGGTATTTGTCTGGGACCCCTTGGTGGAGTGGACACGGGGAGATAACCATGATGAAGCAGCAATAGGCGGTGAAGAGAAGAAAGGAATGGAGCTTGCTGTCAGTCTTAGCTTATTTGCCTCTCGATTTCAAGAAATCCGTATTCCTCTGCAGGTATTCATCCATTGAGGAATCAATCATGCATGATCATCTAGGAAAATATAGAATGAATCTGGCAAGGGGTCTAAAGTGACTAACTGCTATAATAAAATTTCTTTATTGAAATAACCTTTAATATCTAAAGTGAAACTTGGCCTTTTAGGTAGTGATGCACTTTAGTTAGTCTTGTTCTAACCCATGAAAGGTCTGCAGAAGTTGTGCTTGCCCAGCGTGGAATATTTTATCATCACTCATCACTTCTCAACCTGCTACTGTTCTGCAGATGATAATGATCTAAGACCCATTCTGTGCATTGAAACTGTTAGAATTCTCCTCTTGGCCTTTGAACTATGCACCTTATATCATCGTAAATACCTAATTATACTTCATAGAGATTTAAGTATTAGCCTTTCTGGGAAATTGTAGTTCTGTTGCTTCTTAGTTACATAATTACATACTTCATAAGACACTTGGAATATGGATAATTGTCATAATGATGACTACATGTTTTTTTTTCCAGGAGCATCGTGATCTTCTGGTATCTACCTTACCGGCTGCTGAATCTGCTCTCAGGGTATTTCTTAAGATTTCCATCTGCAACTATTTTCATGTAATGTCATGAATTTGTGGAGATTCAAATCAAGTAACTTCGTTTTTTCCCCCTGTAAACATTTGGCAGAACTTCTTGGATGTCCTAAATCAATATGAAATCATATCTACAATTTTCTATCATGCCGACAAAGAGAAGTTAAGTCTTCTGCAACATGAGGCATCGGCAAAGTCAATTGTTGCTGAGGCAACTGCTATATCAGAAAAATCTAGGGTGGTCTTTGAAGCTCAGGCACATGAATTTGGACAAGCAAAAGCTGTGGCAGCCAAGAAAGCACAGGAAGCAACTATTTGGGTGGATCAACATGGAAGGGTCCTTGATGCATTGCGGACTGGTTCCATTCTAGAGGGCCAACTATTCATGAGATTGAGTGGCATGGAGGAGGTTTTATCTCTTGCATCTGCTGTTCTTGTGTCAGGTGTTCCATCAACGGTTGTTCCTGAGCCGACACAAGAACAGTGCTCTGACATAGATAAGGAAGTTCGTCGTCTGATTATTGAGTTAGATAATGGTATTTCTTCTGCTGTAGAAACACTTCGCGAGTATGCCTTCTCATTGCAAAGAGTTCTTCCTCAAAATTACATTACAACTAAACCAGTTAACGGATGGGCACAGATTATGCAGTTATCAGTCAATAACCTTTCAGGTGATATCTTTTCTCTTGCGAGAAGACAGGCTGCTGTCCTTATTGCTGTAGGCTGTCTAAAAATCACAATAGATAGCTTATCCCTCATCAACCACCGATGATGGAAGTTACAATCTGACGACTTCCAGAAGGCTGTAATCTGACGACCTTCACGACGACGGATGAAAACTCTATTCAGCAGTCTTCACAATCTACAGTGAAAGTTACAATCTGACGACTTTCACACTCCACAACAGTTAAAGCCAGGATTACTGAACAACGGTCCTTGCAATGCACCACAGAAGAAGCTACAAGTCAAATAGCTCATTCTGAGACGCGGATGTCATCCCCGCGTCACCACTTTGGAAATGTGAGCGACCCTCGCGTCGCCAAGCCACGGCGACCCTCGCGTCGCCAAGCCACGGCGACCCTCGCGTCGTCAAGCCACAGCGACCCTCGCGTTCGACAATGCACAAGCCAAACGTGAGCGACCCTCGCGCTTCAATGGTGTTTCAACCAACAGCGACCCCGCTGTCGACAATGCACAAGCCAAACGTGAGCGACCCTCGCGTTCAATGCGTTGTTCAACCAACAGCGACCCCCGCGTCGACAATGCACAAGCCAAACGCGAGCGACCCTCGCGTTTCAATGATGTTAGCAACACCCAACCTCGCGTCTCAATTCAAAGACGTGAGGTTAGGGTCCTGAACGCCAACGTGGCGTTTGACTCATTCAACATGAGTTGAAACGCGTTCTAAAACCGTTTCCCACGATTTGGGGGCGGTTACACCCCACTTAGGAGAGATTTAAGGGGCGGTTTCACCCCCTTAATCCTCTATAAATAACTGAAGATCAATTCAGTTCGGACTCTCGAGGAGGGGGGGAGATTTTCCAGTTCCAAGAACTGTAAAGGGGTCCGGTTGGAGATTTTCCAGTTCCAAGAACTGTAAGAGGCTAGGCATTTTCGGATCTGAGAATTGGCAGCAAGGAGGAGATCGACGTTCATCCTCAGCAACGATCGACCACCGGAGCTTTCTCCTAGCCTTGGCTTATTAACCGATCTTCGGTTCAAATCAACTCTTTCACAGAGTTATTCTAAACTCGATCAGAGTTCAAAACTTGCTCTGCAAGTTCTTCTAAAACTCGTTCAGAGTTATCAACTCGTTAAGAGTTATTTTCAAACTTGCCACGCAAGTTCTCCACAGCGTCAAATCGTGAGGAGAAGACATCGTTCCAGTGAATCAAGACGTGCGGATCGTCAACGGAGAGCAAACTCGACGCGAGCATTCGAGGGAGGCACTCCATCGCCACCGTGAAGAACCCAGTTTTAAACAAAGAGGAAGAACCGATTTCGTTCTCCTCTCTTTTGTAATCAAGTTGTAATCGGAATTAAAGGAATACAAGTCAAATTTTCTTTATTCTCTTCATTGTAATTT